TGAAGTGGGCAAATGTTGAGATGAGAGAGATAACCCTTTTTTTTTTTCAGTTTTTAGACACGAACGCTTCATGGCTAAAAACTGGAAAAAAAAAAACCATTAAGCATTTTTTAGGTCAAGTGGCGCGTCAACCTCACAGCTGCGCGGGTTTTCCCCGGGTATTCCGGTTTCCTGCCACATTCCAAAAACATGCATGGCAGGCTGATTGAACACTTTAAATCGTTCCTAGATGTGAGTGTAAGCGCGGATGGTTGTTCGTCTCTGTGTGCCCTGCGATTGGCTGCCAACCGCATCTATGTTGCGTTCAGGAAACTCGGAGCTGCGAGTAGCAAGCCATACTGCATTTTTACCTTTCGGTAGCAAGCCATACTGCATTTTCACCTTTCGTATCCTGAAATTTCTTTCGTAACAAGAAGCAATATTTTCCCTTTGAGACGTTTCGTAACTTGAAAATTCCGTACGAAGCGACGTTCGTAAGTAGAGGTACCATTGTATTTATATATATCTACGTGTCTTTCAGCCTTCCTTGGAGAAGACGGGCACATTTAAGCTGAAGAAAACCAGGCTGGTGGAAGAAGGCTTCAACCCAGCCCTCATCAGTGATCCGTTATACTACCTCAACGCAGCCAAACGGACGTTCGCTCCCATGACCACGGAGGTGTACAGCGCCATTAGCAGCGGCATGATTAAACTCTAACACGAGAGTGTTGAACTCTTCAATAGTGCAAAGGCATTTTGTTTACAAGGCAAGTCCGCTGCTTCCAACAACTCATCTCAGGGATGCACTAACATTCCCACACAAGACTATTGTATTTTATTTCCAACCCTGAACAGGCATAGAAAGCACAGTACACTCCAGTGCGCTGCCACTTAGATGGATGAAATCAACTGTAGCATTTCAAAACATGAAACATTGTATGAGAATGATGCCTTTGTGTGCGTGTGTTGATTAACGTGCTGAACCTTTGGATGTTGAACTTCGGAGCAATGTTTAATGTTTCTCCAATCCGGTGGGAGTTATCATCAAAGCGCCTTTGAACTGATGTTATGATCGTGTTTTAAGGCTACGTTTGATGATGTCACCGGTCAGGAAAAAGTGTGAAGGAAAGTTGTGTTAAGTTTGGCGGGGGGAGGAAAACAGGCGAGCATTCATTCGTAGGTGAGGGGGGAAAAAAAAAATATATGTTGGGAAAATATTTTCAGAATACATTCATGGTAATTCTGAAATTGAATTATTTGCAATTTAGTTTGTAATTAGTTAACCAAAATAAATGCATATGTACAATTACTTAATAAGAATTCATTTTATTAAATGGCGGTTTTCAGGGCACTCCAGGTCATGTACAATCAATTCATACAACAAATAAGTTGAGTGAGAAAAAAAAAAATTCAGTCATCAATAAAAATGAATACATTTTAAATAACCAGTATTAGAAGACAATTGATTACTGTTATCTTGTGATATTAAAAGTGTGAAATTGTATTTTTATTTTATTCTTGAAAATGTGATTTTTTTTTTCCATATTTACAAATTTCCAACTTTTTTTTTTTTTTTTACATCTTCAGTCTCGTAATTTACTTGTGGTATCCCTGTGCTCCTTGCACTACAGCAAATTCTTGGAAATACACAATTCTTTCCACATTAAATTAGAAAGATTTTTTTTTTCCTCACAGAGTTACAATGTATATCTTGTAACATTCTCTTTGCCTTGTTGGCAATCTGTCAAATGAAACTATGACTCTCCTCGGATTATTGTGACTGTATTTTTTTTAAATGTAATTTTCTTGTCAAATTATGACACTCCTCAAAATACATACTGTACAATACTACATGCTTGTTTTTTTTAAGTCTTCTAAAAAATAATGTTGACTTGTATCGAGTTAAAAAATATTGTCTTCTTGAGAAAGTTACGACATAATGCACATGATATTCTGCCTAGATTCTTACAAAAAAAGCTGTTCTATCATATTAAAAATATGGTATCATAATATTCCGACTTGAAAGATTTTTGCTTTAACCTGGGACTCCTTTAGAATTACTCAATGTATCAATCAACACAAATCGTCGATTTATCACACTATGTGGAAATTTGCATGAACTTTCTAAATCCCAATTTGATGGAGAACGTGCCCAGTTTGCTATGCAGCTAACAACAAAATAAGCACTTCATAAGATAAATACATCATTTGACAAGACACTTCAGCCCACAGAGTAGTTTACTTTAAAAATGAATTTATTTATTAATACAGTGGTATACATTAAAAAAAAAAAAGAAATGTTGCGGAGGGAGAAAAACTTAAAAAAAAAAAGAAAAAAAGAAATGTTGCGGAGGGAGAAAAACTTTTAAACAAAAGAAATCCAAATAAATAAAAAGAATGCTCAAAACATGGAGGAAAAAAAAACTAGTGTTGCATTGAAGTGTTATCATATCAAAAGAAAATAGTACTGATGTGCCATAATAAATCATCTATTAGTAGAAAAATACATTTCAGGGCACACAATAAAGCATCCAGTATCACAAATAAAGGAAGGGACCAGTTGTCGTTCCCCTAAACCCTTTGAGCGCAACTTTTAAAACCATTTAAATCAAGCACTTGTCTATTTTGTTTTGTAAATAACAATAAAAACTTTTCATACGGTTAAAAATGCCTTAGGTCTTGTATTTATGCAGTACGTAGAAAAGTCAAGACTTATTACTGCGCGAGTCAGTTCCAAGGCTCGGGGGGTTTTAACCGGTGTACAAACATAACCAATGTAACTTCTTCGCTGTCTTTTCCTTGTCCACCCCCCCTCCAAACAAACACTTTTTTCTCTTTTATACAAAACAATAAAGATATACAAAAGTTGATTTACAGAGAACCAAGGCCATATGCTAGCGGTATGTACAGCCACGTCCTTTTCTGCGCCTTGTCACACTTCGTATGCATAGCAGGAAAAGAAAGCAAGACCTTTCATTTCATCGGCATCTATTCTTCACGTGTGCTAGAATCAAAATTCCGAGGGGTGGAGAGAGGGGTGGGAGTGGGGTGAGGGGACCAAAAAAAAAAAAAGACAACTTTGTGTCAACTGTGACCAGAGTGCTGGGATGGGTTAAATGTGGATTCTTTTGATATTTTGTGTATATACACGCCCATGTGTGTATGTGTATATATATATATATATATATATATATATATATGCAGATAAGGCATCATTGCTCGCAGTGTTGGATGGTTTCTCATGTGTAGAAGTGATAGCAGGCATCTGGACCTGAGTCATAGCACATGCATAGATCCCTAGACAGCAGGAATTTGTCAGATCAAGTCAGTATATTTTATCTATGGTAAAAGATTTGCTACTTAAAAAAAAAAAAAAAAAAATCATCAGTCATCATCACTTTCAGTTCAGCAGAGAGCGCCCGCTCACAACAAAAGGGCGTCCGTCATAGATGCTAAGAGTGAACCATGTTTCTGTGGCATCAAGCAAGTCTCCAGAGATCCTTCACAACCGCACCAGTCGCAAACAAAATGGTTTGGTGTATGCCCACTTTGCCCTTTGGGGGTAACACTTTGCAGGAAAAAACAAAAAAAAACAAAACCTCAGTAATATTAAACATCATCATCTGGGGTCTCACTTTTCAAAGAGTGCGTAGGATTCTTTCGAAAAGGGTACACACACAAATGCTGAAATGATCCACCCCCCCCCCCAAAAATTGACCTCTCAACCCGTGCATGCGCAAACTAATACAGTACTTCCTCAGTGTGTCGCGCCCGCCATACGCACAAAGTCAACCAAATAGCACCGCACACGAATTTTGAAATGGGCCGTGCCGAAATCGTACTGCTCGTGAACCGGGTGGAAACAAGGAAGGGAATAAATACTGTTTCGTGACCTTGGTGGCATACAAATGAACAACAACAACAATAAAACATGACAGGGAGGAAGACGGAGATATAAAATAAGTAGCCGGACTTAAGTAGAAGTCCAACTCCCTTCCAAAAAAAATCGCAGCGCATTGAGAATGTCGTGACTACTAAAATGGGGGACGCACACATCCGGCTCACACAAATACGGTCCACCATTGAGAAAGCATATGCCGCTGCATTGGGTGGAAAAAAAAAAGAATTCTTTGCAATATATTCTATTTTCTCCTCACTATTCTCATTGTGATATTCTGATTAATATCGTGTTCTTAGGAAAAGATTTACGGCAATTTTGATCGGTCCTCGCGGGCCGGTGATTTTTGCGTTATACCGCCCCTCTGCTGTCGACTTCAATTGCCCTTGCGTTGCAGGGAACAGGTGAGACGTGACGTTCGCAATGCAAGCCCGAGGGCACTTTTGACGCCAATGTCAACAGCGGACAGCATCGCATCGAAATGAATAAAAACAGATGGATGAATCGGATTAATTCTTATCTCACGAATGCAATATTCATGAATAGCATATTTAGACTAGTGGTGGCACAGAAAATATTATTGCAAAGAACATCGTTGCCCTTTAATTTGTATAGCTAGGTTGCATATGCATAAAATGTGGTAGTGGTAAAACTGACATTTTCTTTTCTTATTTTCTAGGATAAGAAGGGGAATTGACATCATTTGACCACATTTCAAACACGTGCAACCAATTTACAACATCAACAGACAGCGAGGTGGCTGACAGGAAAAAAAAAAGTGCAAAGGCAAAAATAAAAGTGGTTTCATGTGTCCTTTGTTTCTTCCTCTAGAGTTGGGCGCGGTAGGCGAGGGCTCCTAGAAAGGGGCTATTGAACCCCACCCGCAATGTCATCCAATCCCCGAGGGGCACTTTAAAAGGCATGAGCAGCATCATTAAAAAAAAAAAAAAAAAAAAAAAAAGTACCAACAAAACATGAACATAAAATTGTACACAAAGTGCAAAAACTGTACATATAATCTAAAGTTGCTGCTTGATGCAGTGGACGTGCGAGACGCATAATACACTCCAAAATGCGCGTATGCACGGGTTGGAGTTTCCGTACACATGCACATTTTTTTTTTCATCTGTCAAGTTTTTTTTTTTTTTGATAGGACACAAATTTTGCGCAGAAGGTTGCGTACGTTTTGTGCATTTTGCCCATACGCAGCGTTGATAAGTGAGGCCCCTGACATTTTACAAAACGTCGCTAAAAATGTCAAGATGAGAATACTCAAGTCTGTGGCACCATCATGCACTCCCATTTCAGTCTCACTGTCCAAAAGTTCAGGTTATTTTTTGTTTTTCTTTTTTTGCAAGCCTTAAAAGCACCGGGAAAGTTACCCCCCCCCCCCAAAAAAAAGAACAGCTGGACTCTGCTGACTGTCCTCAGGTTGTGGTGTTGATTTTTTTTGTTTTTGTTTAGTGCGGGGCGGTAAACAACGTGAAAGTGTTGTTGGATTCACCCCTTGAGGTGAACTGTGTGCTCCTCCACCCTTTGGCCTCGGTGGAGGCAACAGACGCCCCCACCCACCCGCCTTTTCTTTCACATTCAGGAACAGACCAGCTGTCGCCCTCTTCAGAAGTGGTCGATGAGCACAGAAACACAGTTTGCACCCACTAGGTAGTTTGGGTCTCCGGGGAGAGATTTGTTCTGCCAGCTTTTCGGGTCACCTGCACGAAATGCAGACAATATAAAAGAAAACTAACTAAATGAACAACGAAATAAATGAATAAACATTTAATAACATTTAGGGAAGCGTATTGCTGCCACACCAGAAACAAAAAAAATTCAATATCACAATTCAAGGTCATAATTTGGACTGAATGACAAAGTCTCACTTATCAATCATCATGTTTACCATAATATGACACAATACTGACTTTATTCCCCCCCGACATGGGAGCAATATGCTTCCACATATATGAGCCTTTAAATGAGAGGTTCTCAAATGTTTTCAGTCAAGGGACCCTTACAGTGAAGATGTTTTT